ATAATTACCACTGTTGTCATGACGGCCACTACCTCAACACCCGCCTTCTCTGAGCAGCCCTGACAGTGACCCAGTGAGCCTGAAGGGTGTCCCATGGAAGGTTCCACGAGGATCATAAGAGGGCTGGTTTGTGAGGACGAGAGAAGAGTAGGCAGCTGACGCTATTGCATGGTCGCAGGAAGTCATGAGAATGGCCCAGTCTGAGTGTTTCCTGTGTACCAGGCCCTGTCCTAACCACTTGACACCTATCAAACCCTGAATTCCACCCAAGAGAGGGGCTACACCAACATAGGATTGGAAAAGGGGATGGCCGAAGATGTTTTCCCAGCCTTTAACTCAAACTGTAAAATGTTTGGAAGTAGAGAAGCCAGGAACTAGAAAACAGAAAGCCTTCCTTGGGAAAAGAGACTATCTGTCTATCTATCTATCTATCTATCTATCATCTATCTATATCTATCTACACATGTACATATGCATTTATCTAGATATACACAAGTACATACTCATATACACGTACATATACGTACACATATACCTATCCATATACATCCTGTGATTTAGTTCTGTAAGGTTTAATATGTGTTTTCAACACACATAAGATAGTGTTAATATCCTCAAGATATTAAAAACAACTCTTCCAAACAAGACAAGCACAGAAACAGGATGCTGGCTAGGCGCAGTTGCCCACGCACTTTGGGAGGCTAAGGTAGGAGGATTGCCTGAGGCCAGGAGTTTGAAACCAGCCTGGTCAACATAGTGAGATACAGTCTCTACAAAAGAAAAATTAAAAAATTAGCTGGATGTGGTGTCTCGTGCCTGTAGTTCCAGCTACTGGGGAGGCTGGAGCAGGAGCCCAGGAGTTAAGGCTGCAGTGAGCTGTGATCGTGTCACTGCACTCCAGCCTGGGTGATAGAGTAAGACCCCGTCTCTAAAGAGCAACAAGATGCTCATGAGCTATAAATTCACAAAATAAATACAAAAGGCCAGAAAGGACATGAAAAAAAAATCCAGCATCAGTAAAATTCAAAGAAATATAAGCCAACTATTAAGATATCTTTAGCTGTGAAATTGAAAAAGATTTAAAAAAATAATAAGAGCTAGTTTTGGAAAAGGAGTGGGGAAATTATCACTACCATATACTTCTAAGGGAAGTAAAAATGGTCACCACTTTCCCTGAGGACAGTTCGGCACTAGGTATGAGCGGCCTGAAAATGCACAGACTGCTTGACTCAGCAATTTCACTGCTGGGAGTTTATATAAAAGAAATAGAGATGTGGCCAAAATTTGAGCTTCAAATTGGTGAGCCATTTTCATTACATGTATTAGTTGGATCAAGGGTTGTGGTCACCCAGGCTGGAAAATATTTACTCCTCAAAGCAAACTTTGGTTTTAAAGAAAGAGAAATACAAAGTCTGCAGCCAAACATTTTGTGAGACATAGACCCCACCTGAGGTCCTGAACCTGTGAGGGTCCCTGGAAAAGTTAATGGGACATCAGAACCTTTTTTTTTTCCATATTATAGAGCCCAGAGGAAATCACATAATTACAAACCATTCGGGTAAGATGAGGACCCCAAATACCGCATTTCTTTGCTTTTGCCTGGAATGATATCAGCTTAGTGCAGTCACCCTGGTTACCTCATGCTAATCAGGAGCTCTAATTAGCAGCCACATCTGATTAATAAAAAGGGGGAAATGGCTTAATTATTAAGCGACAGTTTGGTAGACAAAATCCTTCAAAACATGGAGCTCTGTGTGGGGGGATGGACCCCGATTAAAGAGGTTCTTCTAAGGGAACATTTCAGGAACCACTGCTGTAATAACACCACTATTTTTTTAACTGCTCAGTTTGGGCTAGGCACCATGCTATGTGCTTTCCTTGTTTTAACTCATTTCACTTTAACAACAATTTTGTGAGGAAACTGGGGCACAAAGAGATTTAAGCAACGTGTTCAGAGTTGCTGAGAGAGTGAGCAGCAGAGCCGGAACTCACATGGAGAGCTGTCTGACTCCAAAGCCAGTGCCCGTGATGCTGTTCCATCACCATTCCTTGCCCATCCATCCATCCCACCATCCATACATTCATCTGTCTGCCCATCCATTTATTCATTCATTCATTTGTATGTTTGTTGAGCTTCTACTGTGTGTCAGGCACTGTTCTGGGCATCTAGAACATGGTAGTGAATTAGCAAAAGTCACCATCTTTCCACAGCTTCCTTTATTTTTATTTTATTTATTTTTTTGAGACAGAGTCTCGCTCTGTTGCTCAGGCTGGAGTGCAGTGGCACAATCTCGGCTCATGCAACCTCTGCTTCACAGGTTTATTCGATTCTCCTGCCTCAGCCCCCAGGTAGCTGGGATTATAGGCACCCCCCCACCACGCCCAGCTAATTTTTGTATTTTTAGCAGAGATGGGTTTCGCCATGTTGGTCTCAAACTCCTGACCTCAAGAGATCCACCCATCATGGCCTCCCAAAGCGTTGGGATTACAGGCATGAGCCACTGTGCCCGGCCCCAGAGCTTCCTTTATAGTGGGGAGAGACAGATATTAAATTAGTAGGCATGTGAGTGCTAAGAATAAGAAAAATAAAGCAGGTCAAGGGGCAGAGAGAGATGAAGGAGCATATTATTTTAGCTAGGGTGGTCAGGGAAGGCCTCTGTGAGGAGGTGACAACTGAGCAGAGACCTGAATAAAAGGAAGGAACCAGTGGTAAGGACAGCCAGGGAAGAGCAGTCCAGGTAGAGAAACCGCAGACTCTTACTTTCCAACTGCCCTACGGTGGTCTAAGGTCCATTCCTGTAATAGAGCCCCAATTCCATCATATTCAGTGGCTCCACTTCCCAGGCTGAACCTCGACTGACGTGACTGTTAGTCAAGACCGTTAACTAACCTTGACTGTTAAGATAAATGTGGTGACGTGTTAACAACGGACGAATCTGGGTGAAGCACAGATATGTCCACGGAACTATTCTTAAAAAAATGTTGAGGAAGCAATCAGTGAGTGAATGAATGAGTGCCGTTGTTCACTAAATGTACTCCTACTTTCCTGCAGTTTTAGATCTTTATTTAGTGGATCCCATGCATACTGAAGGCACCTCCCTCACGGAGCACACAGTCATTTTCTATGACTCACTCTGAGACTCTGGGGAGGTCCAGCTCTGTTTTGTTGGGTTTTGAGCCCAAATCTCTCTCTTCTGGGGAAAAATAGTTTTGTGTGTATGTGTTGTGGTTCTGATGAAAGAGGATATTGTGCCCCCAACCCCAAAGAATTGAAGGTCTGATGTTGTATATCATAGAACCTTTATTATTTATCCTCTAAATTCTTAGAAACTTACATAACGCCCGTGCTCTAGTTATGACACCATTTATAGACATTTAAAATGCATCTTCATTTATAAATATTTTACATTTGGTCCATAGAACAGATAATTTTACTAAATAATACTGTATTTTTTAAAACAGGCTCTGTATATACTTTGAATATGTATATATTACATATATTTTTTTATATAGAGATAGATTTACTTGGTGTTCTGAGAATAAATCCTTATTGCAAAAAAAGCATATATGATAATACAATATCTTCTTCCCCCCGGGCAAATACTAAAAAAATGTTACACGTATTCACAGTTCTCACAGTAATTGTACGACACTTAATATTGTGCTCTATAAGGTAGGTTTGGATGGAAATCAGTTAGGGGATTTCTTGCCAAACATCTCACTTAGAATTGCTTACAAACATTAAATACACTGCATTTGTCTCAGAGAGACTTGTTCTCAGTTTCACATTGAAGAACAAAGAGAAAGTTGGAAGTTCTTCCTGCCCTTAGTCTAAAGGAGTTCACACACAGATGGGGAAGTGGACCATGAGACACAGTGAGGGGTTCCTGTCATTCTAAACACTATAATTTAACAATACGTATGATTCTGATCATGGATTCACCAGCTGGCATTGGGGATGCCTTGGCAATGGGACTATTTTACAGATGACCTCAGAGGAAAAGGTTTTAGATTTCCTATACAATATCAAATGAGACCTTATGTGCCACACGTGAGGATGAATGTGCATATTATACGTTCATATGTATACACATATTTTTTTCTCTACAATAATGTGCTTAATATTCTGAGGGTAATATCTTATTGCAAGAACTGGTATGCTGGTCACTTTCGGATGAGAATGACAAGAGATTAAAAACCCCACAGTCACAGTTATTTACCATAGTTATTAAGGATTAGTCATAAAACACGGCTTGTGAGCTAACTAGCTAAGGAGCTACAGGGCACAACGTACGATTTGCTACGTGGGAACCCATCTTCCTGGCAGATGAGACACGCGGAGCTACTGGAGCTTGCAAGAAACTGTCTTCACTTGAAGTGCTGCCGCCACCATGGAGCCCGATTCCAGAAAGGAACAAATCATACTTCCCAATGAAGCAGTTTGAATCTCGGAAGCACACTGCGGGGAGTTCTCTGGATTAACGCTAGCTCCTCAGTTAGTGGGGCGGGCGGGTTTCAGTGGCAGTGAGGAGACTCCTGCTGAGGAATTTCAAGGAAGGTGAGGCGGCAGCAGCTTGGGGCGGGTGACAGTGAGGGTGGTAGTTTAAGGAGACCGAACGATTACTGGATCCGTCTTCAGTGTCAGACAGATCCTTCACCTTGATTTCCCCTGCAACTATTTTGTACTCTGTGAAATTGGGCAGCTTAACAGAAACTGGAGCTCAGGTATGGGAAGTTTCCCCAGTAGGACCTGAGGCCCCTAGAATGGCGATAAAAATAGATCAGTTGTGCTTGTGGCAGTTTTCCAGCAAGCAGGGCTTCTCTGGACGGATTGCACTGGGCCAGGTCCAATCAGAATGGCCCGGCAGGGAGGGGACAGGGACATTGGGCTGCAGAATGCTCATTCATTCGGGCAGCGGGGACAAGGGCACGCTGTAGACTGGGGGAGAAGCGGCCCTGGGAATATCGACTGAGGCCCCTGGGTTTTTTTTTTTTTTTTTTTGTCCAGCTGCCTTGGAAAGGAGAAAACCAAAAACACGAAAGCCAGAGCTCCGCTGGCTCCTGCTACTTAAGAGCAAGCGCTCCTGGGAAGTCTCCATTGTACAAAATGCCCTTTTCCTGTGCATGGAGCAGCGTTCTGAGGGAAAGGAACTCCTGCAAAGTCCGAGATAACAGTCGCGGGTTTCGGCAGTAAGAGAACAGTCAGGAACAGGTCTAAAAGCCAGGAGCACGTGTGGCCTCGCTGTATCACGCTCCCTGGCAGGATAAAAATGATCTACCGTGGCGGTTACCAAGGCCGATCGTGGGATGCTGATGGGGCCTAGATTAAAAAGGTCACCAGCCCACTGGGTACCGGAAGCCACTGGGTATCCTTGCCCACGGCAGGGCCCACCCAGGGGTCTAACTGTCCTCCCACCTCCCCTCTCTGCGTGGTGATGGTATCTGGACTCGCCACTCGAGGTAGGTTGAGACAGAAGTTATCCTCAGACATCAAGTGGTGGTCGTGCTCAGCCAGGTCGGGGGGTGAGAGTGTTGGGTCGGCGAGCGGCCCCCACCCTAGATGTAGGCCTCCTTGCTGGTGGAGCTGCTGGCCTGGGGCTGCTCGGGACCATTCTCCGGGCGAACGATGTCTTCGCTGGGCTGGACCATGACTTGGATGCGCTGTGGGCACCGGGGAGGAAGGTGTGAGGCTCTCTGGGGAAAATCCCAGGCTGGGATGGTGGGAACAGGCTGCTTCCTTCTCCTGCCCTCTCTTCAAGCCCATCCTGTCTGCTCTGCCTCCAGACTACACCCAGACTCCAGCCACAGCCCCACATCCTGCCCCACATGGGCCATGCCACAGCCCCTCTCACTTGGGTTACTGCAACAACTCCCAGCCCTCAGCTTCCACTCCCGCCTTCATTCTGTCCTCTCACCCCTTCATTCTGTCCTCAACACAGCAGCAGGAGAGTTCTGTGAAAACCAGACTCAGATCACATCCCTCTGCTACTCAGGACCCAACTACAGAGGCTCCCATTTCACTGAGAGGCAGAGCCAAAGTCCTCCAAGGCCTTATATGACCTGGCCCCTGCCACCTCCCAGTGCTTAGTGTCCTCCTTTCTCCTTCGTGTGTCCATCCCATCCACATGGGACTCCTCGATGCCCTGCAAACGCAGCAGGCACGCTCCCACCCAGGGCCTTTGCACAGGCTGCACCCTCTGTCTGGCACTCTTTCTCTCAGCGACAGCAGCTCACTCTCTGCCTCCCAAGTCTTGGCTCAAATGTTTTGCCTTCTCAGTGAGGCCTCACCCGGCACTCCCTAAACCTGCACCTACTTGATTTTTCTCTATAGTGTTCTTCCCACCTCACATGTTTTTTTTGTTGTTGTTAGTTGCCTGTCTTTCTCTACCAGAATGGGAGCTCTGGTAGGAGGGTGTGATTTCTGCTTATCTTGTTCACGGCTGTGTCCGCAGCACGGACAGTTCTGTCTGGCACATCATCAGGGTTCCATCCACGTGTGCGAAATGGACAGATCCCCCACTGCCTTTGTCATCCTGCCCCATCAGCTCACACCCTGGCCTCAGGTACGCCCTGGCCCTTCCTACCAGTGGGCCTTTGCACAAGCTGTGGTCTTTTCTGCAAGGGCATCCCCTTGACCTCTCATCACACCAAGCCCCAGCTGCTGTTTGAGGCTCTCCAGTGGATTGTGGAAAATGAAAGCTTTGGACCTATAGCGGGAAGAAAGGGCTGCAAGCCCTGGCTCTGTTCATAGCTTCCTGAGCTGGGAACCTGCTTACCCAACACCTGCGATTCCTCAGTTTCTCCATCTGAGGTCAGAGGAGGATGGCCCAGTAACTCCGGGGCTGCACATAACCTGCAGCCCGGCTTCCCTGTGCCTTGGACCTGAGAGTGCTTCCTCTGGGTCTGGCAGGTGCATCTCCCGGGGAACTACAGTGGAGAGCCACTTGCCCAGGGCCCTCCAGGGACGGCCCCCATGCTCTGACTCTCCACTCTTCCCAGGGGCATCTTCTCAGACTGCACACACCTCATCAATGTCTCTTTGCCTGGCACCTCCAGCACTACCTTGCTCCCTCAAGAGTTCAGTGCAGTTTAACAAAGTGCAGGCATGGACAGAGAACCCTACATGACGGTGAGGGCCTTGCTGGGGCAGCAGGTCTTTTGTGCTCTGTCATTCCTTGTGGGTAAGATCACATTTTCTTTATATTAATCCTACAAATGAGATCTAGAGTGAGCCCTGGGCAAATGTGATCCCACCCTCCATCTGTTCCAAGCCTTTTGTGTGCCCCACTGCCACCAGGATCAAGTCCAAAGTTCTTGTACTGGTTTTCAAAGGCCTTCATGATCTGGCACACCTTCTTACATCCCAACCTCATCTCATGTCATGCCCCCTCCTCACACCTCTTTCCACTTTACCCTCCATCCACACTGATCTCCCTTCAGTTCACCCGATGCAGTTTATACCCCCGGACCTTTGCACATGCTTCCCAACCTCTCCTCCCCTCCCTCTTCTAGGAATCTTCTTTCTGCTTCTACCTCTAAGTCTGGTTTATCCTTAGGCCTCTCCTTTGTTATCCCTCTTCTGGAAATCCTTCTTTAATCCTCCTTAAACCAGGGCTATTTGCTCCCACCCCCCTGGCTTTAATACTCTATTGTCTTTGGCTGTTGGCTTGTCTGTCTCCCCAGCTAGACTGTGAGCTCCATAAGGGGTGGGGCTGTTCCTGGCACAGCGGGGGAAGGGCACTGGCAATTTGGAAGTGGGAAAGGGCTTACCTGCTTCAGAGAGCCCTTTAAGGTGAGGAACATGTAGGCCATGTACCCGGGGATGAGGACCATGGAAGACAGAGCCATGAGCCAGCCCACACCTTGGCCCCACTTGGGGAAAACGTAGCTTCCCATGGTGAGAGGCGTCATCTGCACAGCACTGAAAATGAACACACCCTGGAGAGGGTGGAGGGGAGGGCATGGACGGGAACGAGTCAGTCACAGAATGGACCACCCTGAAGCCAGCAGGCCGACTGCCCTCTACCCTTGCCTGGAGGCTGACCCAGCACCTTATGCACTGCTAGCACATAAGGTGCCTTTGTACATAATAGAAAAAGACACCCTCTCAGGGAAGATCAGTAGGAAAAGGCAACTCCTCCAAGGAGACTAATTAGAAAAGGGAACCCTTTCCTCCAAGTTCCCGGCTTTGAAAGCAGAGCAAGGGTGAGGTATCAGCTCCTGGTGTGCCACTGGCAGGGTCCCCTTATGTGGGACACAACATATGTAGTGGCTCTGCCCCCACCTCAAGGACCTTGAATGGCCCCTCCCAGGCCCGCCCCTGCTTCAGCTCCTGCTTGTGGGAATGAGGGACCCTGAGAAGAAGGGTCTGCAAGTGCCAAGAGCTTGGGCTTCGGAATCAGGTCAGCTTGATTCGAATCCCAGCACATGAGCTAGGTGATGCTGGCTAGGTGAACCCCAGATCCTGCAGCAGTAAAGTGGCACAACAATGCCTCTTTTCTGAGGTTTGTGAGGGTGATATTTGTGTCTTGTACCATGCAGAGTGCAGAATAGATGCCCAACAGATGGCAGAGGAAGTATTACTAAGTAACAGGGTTTCTGGGGACCTCTTCCACCTGCCTTTGGACCTGAGTCCCCCCAGGGCTTGGTCTAGCCTCATCCTAACAGGGCTAATCAGGTCTTCCTCTTACCGCCACAATGATTGGGGTGAAGAAAGACCAGCAGAGTTTCCACCAGATGCAGGGCCTGGAGCCAACCATCTCTTGGATATTGTCATAGAATCGGTTGACACCTGTGACATTGGGAGCAGGAGAGATGGATGAGCTGCGGGTACTTTAGGGTCAAAGCCTGGTGCTACCACTTTCTCATAGTATGACCACGGGCAAGAAACCTAACTTCTCTGAGCCTCAGTTTCTTTGTGTGTACCATGGGGTTAATGCTCAGGGGGTCCTCGTTACTAAATGCTTTTCAATAGCCCAATTCTCATAGCAAGTGTGTAGGTAAGCAAGTAACTTTAATGTGACGATATCTACCAACAAAAGGATATTGACAAGATAATCCCCCCGCACCCCTGCCACTTTCAATGTCCCTCCCACTCTACATTTATGCCAGCCATTCCTTCAAAGGTTTTCCTGGGCAGGGGCTGTTTTTCCCTGATATACAGCTGCTATAAGAAACTGGTAATCAGTTGCAAAGAAGAACTGCAAATCTCACAAAAAAGAAAAACCCTAAACCCACAGGGTATCTTGAAGTTCACCAGAGTGGCTTTGGGCACTGCTCAAATTACAAGTCGAGTCACTGACCAGTGAGGATCTGACCATGTTAGAACAGTTAGAGAGAAAAGGTGGTACTGGGAGTGTAAATTAGTACAACTTTTATGGAAATCAGTACAGAGAGTTCTCGAAGAACCAGATCCAGCAATCCCCCTACTGGGTATCTACCCAGAGAAAAAAAAATTATTATATCAAAAAGGTATCTGTACTCATGTGTTTATTCACAATAGCAAAGATATGGAATCAGCCTAAGTGTCCATCCGTGGATGGCTGGATAAAGAAAATATGGTATACATACACAGTGGAATACTATTCAGCCGTAAAATAGGATGAAGTCATGCCTTTTGCAAAAGGCATCATTTTAAGCAAAACAACTCAGAAACAGAAAGTCAAATACTGCATGTTCTCACTTAAAAGTGGGAGCTAAATGCTGGGGACAGGTGGACATACAGAGTGGAATAATAGACACTGGGGACTCAGGAGGGTAGGAGAGTGGGAGCTGGGGTAGATGGTGAGAAATTACTTGGTGGGTAGAATGTACATTATGTGGGTGATGGGTACACTTAAAGCCCAGACTTTGCCACTACACAAGATATCCATGTAACAAAATTGCACTCATATCCCTTAAATTTATACATATATATAAAAAAAAAGAAGGGACAATGACAAGGCAGATGAGGTGGCAGATATTGCAAAGAGGGGACCCAGAATATTATGTTTCTTTCAAAACATTTGCTCTGCTGTGACAATCAAATGTGCAGGAAAGGATGTTGTCATTTTTTACTATCATGCAGTTGGCTCAAGAAACTTAGGCCACAAAACAAACAAAATCAATGCTTCTTTTGTTATTTGTTTTAAGATAGTGCACGCTTTTCATTACAGCCTAGCTTTTAAAAATATATAACTTTAAAACTTAAAAAAATGGTTTTGGTTTATTTTTTCTGGATAAAATCTCAAAACCCTTTTTATTCCAAAATTTATAAAGAAATGTTGGCACCTATTTTAAATGAACTCATTTAACGGCTCTTATATCTTCTAAACATGGGGGCCTCCTGGACTAACCTTACTGAATTGTAATGTGAAGAATAAATAAATACATAAATGTAGGGAAAATACCTGGTGTTCAAATTGTACTTGTTGAATGATGACTGAAGAAAGGAATGAATAGATGAATGACTGAATGAATAAGGGAGGAGGGGCCGATACTCACCGTAAAACCAGGAAATAGAGACACATTCAAAGAACACGAGAAACAGCAGGCTCATGCCACTGGCAGAGTAGTAATCAAAGAGTTTGAAGACATAGATGCCTCCCTGCAAGAGAAAAAAACGTAAGAACAGGTGCGCTTTCCCCAGAGCCCATCAGTGGATGGCAGCCAATTCACAGACGACATGGGCTCTGGAGGCTGATGGGGTTGGGACTAGGCTGCATTGCAGCAAGAAGGCTTCAGGATAGATTAGATGAAGCACTGAGGGCTTTGTGACCATGAAAGGACATGGAGGTTGGCAGTCTGGGTATTGGGAAGGAAATGTTCAGGTGGTAGAGGGAAATGCCCATTTCTGGTAAGGCTGGAGGGTGGAAAGAGAAGTTGGTCACCAGGGCCATCTGTTTACGTGTAAATCAGTCACGTCTCTCCCCTGCTTAAAACGTTCCATGGCTTAAATGAGACAATAATGTAACACATAAATAAGCAGAGAGAGATCCCATCCCATCCCGTCCCATCCCAATGTCTTGGCCTGCAATGTCTGCATGGGCTGGTTTTGATCTCGCACTCACTGCCTCACTCTGCCTCCGCCACACTGGCTTCCCTCCTGTCCCTCAAATGCCTCAGGCTTTTGCACCTGCTCTACTCTCTTTCCCCAGATCTTCCTCTGGCTGGCTCCTTCTCATCATTTACGTCTCAGCTCACTTCCTTGGAGAGAGAGACCTCCCCTGACTCCGTGTTTGAGGGAGCGCCCCTCCTGTCCCACTGGTCATTCTCTATTCTGCTCTCCTCTTTTCTCCGGGACACCTGACACCCTCCGAAATCATCTAATTTGTCTGTCAGTCTTGCCTACCAAAATGTAAGCTCTAAGAGAGCAGACACGGTAGTATCTGTCACATTAATTGCCAAATTTCCAGGGCCATGCCAGGCCCATAGTAGGTGTTCAACAACTGTGAATGAAGGGATGAATGAACACTAACTGTGGAGCAGAACTGTGTTTCGATCTGGGCGGTGATTTGTGGATTATAAAAATCAGACCCACAGGGCTGAACTCATGCCGCTGAGTTGTTCATATTTATATTGTACAATGATAAATATAACTGTATAAAATGTAAAGTAGAAAACAAATATACTATAAACAACTATATTTTATAGAGTACAATTCACCAGCTATGTGAGCCTTTCTCATTCATGTCAATACAAAAGAAAAATGGGAATGAAAGAAAGCTTTCAGCAGTCTCAACTTCAAAGGCCCAGCTCCAATTTGACTTTGTGGCTAATTTCTGTGGGCTTTTCAAAACTCAATTCCTGCATCCCCTCCTCCAGGAAGCAGTGCCCGGTGCCCCCAGGTCAGTTCAGCACTGCATTCTCTAGCTCTGTCCCAGCCAATGTTTGTGTCTCCCACCAGCCTGGGAGCCTCTGGAGGGCAGGGACCCCATCTGACTCACTGTTATGTGCCCAGAGCTTGGCATGGAGATGATGCTCAATAAAGGCAGGAAAGGTGGCATACAACAGGGGAGGGGGAAGGAGGCCCTGGGTGTGCCCTGGGCAGTGCTGGGGGAGTTCCAGGTGCTTACTGAGCTTACCTGAGTGATGTTAGAGAGGCCGATCAGGTAGGAGATGATGCAGACAGCAGCAATGAAGAGCTCCCTGCGGTTGCGGAGGAGCCTGGGGTACTCGTCCACCAGGGCCGTGATGAAGCCCTCCACAGTGCAGAACTTCAGGAGGGAACAGAGGTCAGCCACCTGCAGCAGCCCCAGCCCCAACCCACCCAAAGCCTGGAACTCTAAGGAAAGATGGAGGCCCAGCAGCACCGAGCCAGGAGAGCCCAGGGGCCAGCCTGATTCTGCCTATAACTCACTTTGTGACCTCAGTAGAGTCCCTTCCCTCTGGGAATCAGCATCCCCTTCTGGAAAATGGAGAAGGTGGCTGAGCTGTTTCCTGAAGTTTCATGCAGTGGAACATTCTAGGGGCCTGAAATTTTTGGTCATCTTCTTGGCAGCCAAGAGTGGCGTCCTCTCCCTGCTCTTTCGGGGACTGGAAGAGACTAGGGGCGGGGAGCCCCTGGGGTGCCCTGGGCGCCCTCACCTGGCTGTCAATGCCCAGCATCAGCAGCATGGAGAAGAAGAGGATGGCCCAGAGTGGGGAGATAGGCAGTTGGGTCACTGCCTCCGGGTATGCCAGGAACGCCAGCCCGGGGCCTGAGCAGAAAAGGGCAAAAAGAAGAAAAATAAAACGTCCTCAGTACCTACAGCCTTCCCAGTACACCGCCCATTTTCTAAGCCATTTTTCATTTCATCTTCAGAGTAACCTTGTGAGTGGGTGTTGTCAGCCCCTTTGTCCGGATGCAGAAAGAGGGTGGAGGATGAGGAGCCATAGTAATTGTGCCCAGAGGCAAGAGGACCAGTGAGGAGCTGTGGCTGTCGTCTGGACCAGGGACTGTATGGCCTGGCCAGTGGTGGGGATGGTACATGTGCAGAGAGGTGACCAGACGGAGAGATATGTGGGGGGCAGAAGGGGCAGGTTCTGGTATTGGCTGGCTTGCAGGGTCAGAGGGAAGAGTCCTGGACGGTGCTGAGGTCTCCACCCTGGGGACTGGATGCTGGAACCCTTCTGTGATGGGGAGCATAGTGGAGGAGAAGGCTTTGGAGCAACATGTGTCTGGCATATGTTGTGTCTGAGTACTTGGTGGAGGTGTCTAAGAGATCAGAAAATCTTGGAATGAGAAGGAAAGAGACTGTAACCTCCCTGGGTCTGGGTCTGGATGGGGACAGGGGAATGGCTGGAGAGTTGCAGAGAAATGAGATGGCGGCTGCCCTCAAAGGGGAGATTAGAATCTGAGCAGAGAATGTTCCTTTCACAGGACCAGCCTACTTCTTCGAGGGACGAGTTATGTGTTCCCTATGAGCCTGAGGGGCCTCGGCCCTGTAGACAGCGGGCTCCTCCCCTTGGCTGCTTGCCTGGCCCTGCAGGGCAGGGCTGTCCGGGGTTTTCCTTGGGCTCTGTGGCATTGATGGCTGTGTGGTGAGCAGAGTGGACATGGCCCACTTAGTGAGAACACTTTTGGAGCTGAGACAAAAGCATGGATTTGGGGGTCTTTGTAGTATGGTGGTGAACATGTCTGAATTGGACCAAAGCTTATAGGCCCAAGGCAGGAGTGGATCGTCTCCCCCAAAAAGTCCAGGATTGTGCTGGACATGGCAGTATGCCCAAGAGACTAAGACCCAAGGCTTGGGAGTCAGCCAGACCTGGCTTCCAACTCCAGATCCACCATCTTCCCAGCTCCATGCCGTTGGGAGTGTCTCAGGTTCCTTATCTACGACATGGCTAACAATAGCATGTATTGCAAAATGTTGAGAAGAATCGCATTGCCTGGCACATAGGGGGTGTTCAATGCCAGTGAGCCACAGTGGTGGTGGTAATGGTGATGATGGCAAAAGCCAGCATGGTTAATACCCCCGTGCCAGGAGCCCGGCCCCACACAGTGTTGCACTGACCTGAGGCCGCCACATCAGCAATGGACCTCTTGGTGACATGGGCCATGAAACCCACGATGGAGAAGATGACGAATCCTGCGAACATGCTGGTGCACGAATTGATACAGCAGACGATGATGGAGTCCCTGCAGAGGGAGGGGCGGGGTCAGGAGGGTAGGGCTGGCAGACAGTGTAGCTGCTGGCTGTGGTTATGGAGGGGTGGCCCGGAGGAAGGGGCTGGGAACGGGGCTACACAGCGGGCCCCAGAAGTACAGGCCCTAAGAGAAAGCTAGGGGAGGGCAGAGCCAGAGAATCAGGGTCAGGGAAGGACACAACAGGAATGTCTGTGACTGCAGAAGGAGTGACACAAAGGACTGGCTCAGGGAGAGGTTAAACTGAGTGCAAAGTGGCCAAAGAGGGCCCTAACAGGTAAGCGTGGGCATGGACTCGAGGGGCTCATTCAGGAAAGAAGGGGCTCCTGCAGCTGTCCGCTCGAACCTGTAGACGTTGTTGTGGAAAGAGTTGTAGCTCCCGAGAGCGATCAGGGACCCCAGGCCCAGCCCGTATGAGAAAAAGATCTGGGTGGCCGCATCCAGCCACACCTGTAGGCAGAATCATCAAAGACCGTCAAAAGTAATCACCATAGCCAAAGCTCCCCACAGCCTTTTCCGCGTGCCCACCAGCTCTCCCTGGCAACAAACCCGGTCTACAATGAGGGTCAGAAAGATGCAAAAGCTTGTCTCAAAGCTGCTCAGTCGTGGCTCAGAACCTGGGCTGGGGGAGTGCTCACCTCGGAGTCGGACAGTTTGCGGAAGTTGGGGGTGATGTAGAAGAGGATGCCTTCCTTGGCTCCGGGCAGCGTCACTCCACGGAAGAACAGGATGATCAGCATGATGTAGGGGTATGTGGCTGAGAAGTAAACCACCTGGGAGGAAAGGGGGTGAACTGGTGATGCCTCCCTCTGTATACCTTAGCTTCCTCCTCCCCCATTTCCCCTACATCCGTCCGTATCTGTTGTGGCTCTGGGCTTGATTCCAGTTCTTCCGCCTCCAGGAAGACTTCCCAGATCCCTGCTCTCCTTGGCCACTTTTCTGAAGCTCCTCCTTGGAGTCTGAGCCAAGCAGCTCACATTTGGTTTTCCCCTTCCCCTGTCCCCTCCTATTTTTTGACTTCTAAATTATCCAAGGAATGCATGTGGTGACAGGAAAACTTTTAAATTAGATATGCACACGCATACATAATTTTCCTTCACCAGCACCTAGAATTAAGCTTTGTGGAGGGGCAGGGCTTGTGCTGTTCACATCTCCGTTCACATCCCCATATCCAGAACAGTCCACCGTGTATAGTAGACACTCAACAACTGTCTGACAAGCACATAAATGCATGGATGTTCTCACCTGAATGCGCTGAGACTCTCCTTTACAGATGTGATCGCATTTTCTTACAAAATAAGGTTCAAATTAGGTACTTGCCTTTCCATGTAACATGTTTAGAGTTAAAAAGCACAAGCACATACAGGTGTGTTTCCCGTTTTGTTTACTAAACATTGTTTTATTGCCTCATGAACAATTTGACATTTTAATTACACAAAACAGTCCCTCAGAAGGCCCTACCAATCTAAGTTTCCCCACTGTTATGCATTTAGGTTACCTCCAATTTTGTGACTCTAAATAAAACCACATTAAACACCCCTGTACATAAATCTCCTGCTACAAAATTATTATACCACTCTTGGGACAAATTTGTAGAGGTGGAAATACTGAGTTAAAAGGAATAAACTCGTCCCAGGCTTTTGATCCATATCAGCTTGTTGCCTTCTAGAAATGGAACTTCACCTGGCATTGCAGAGTGTCTTCCTCTCACAAGGGCAGCATTCGGTATCATCATTTAAACAATTATTTTTTGCCAAATTGGTAATCATTGTCTAAAATTGCATTTCTTTGCTCACTAGTGTGGAAGAGCAATGTTCAAGTTCAATGACCTTCATATCTCAGAGCCTAATATGAGCCTGCTCCCTGGACAGCATGGACAGTTCACCGCCTTGGCTTCACCTACCTGACTTGACCCCAAGATTCTGTAGGATTAAGGAAGGCAGTCACAATCCGCAAGAAAACTCATTGTGCTTGAAGCTAGGAAAAGGGAAATCGAACTCATCTGTGTCACCCACGAGCTGTGTAACTGAGGGTCAACGCCATAGCTTCACTTTCCCTTGTCTGGAAACTGGGCACAGTCACACCTACTGCTCAGAATGGTGGGTCACATGAGGACATACAGCTGGCTTACTATATGTCGCCTCAGTCTTGTACTTCCCTGTGCCTTCCGTGTTCAGCATGAAGCCAGGCACACAGCAGGTATTCAGTAAAATGTTTGTGGATGGATTGGTTGACATCCTCAATATACGCAGTGAGGGGGCCCTACTCTCTGTCCCCAAGAAGTGGCCAGACTCCTAACGTAGCAGGAACTCTAATTACCACTCCAAAATGATTACAAGTAATACTATGTATTGAGTGCTTACTATGTGTGAGCCATACGCTAAGCATTCTACTCATCTCCCCTAGTTTTTGTGATGACCCTGTAAGGTGCTGTTATTGTGACCATTGAACAGATGGGGAGACTGAAGCTCAGAGAGGTGAAATGTCTTGCTCAAGTGCACACAGCTAGAAACTCAGGGACTGAGATTCAAACCCTTCCAAAGCCCACAAACCCTATACTTTTCTGCTCCCTAAAGTTAGACTGGGAGACGCTCGTGCTCTCTTTCAACATCCCTACTCCTAGGAATGGATCAGAGATATTTTTACACCAGGCTTGGATTTGAGAACTCAGTGGGTCCAGAGTTCCCACTGCATGGAACTAGGGCAGCTTTTCACCAGCTCTGCCTACGCCGAAGTGCGGAATTTGTTAAGGTTCTGCTTCGTTCATTTCTACTACTGCTTCTAGGACCGTGAGTCCGCTTCTTGGGTAGTTCTGACCTTCCTGCTTCTGGCTTATTCAGTACAAATCCCTTCTCTGCCCTTGACTTGCTGTAAGATCTGAGTCAACACACTTTCCCTTCAGGTCAAGGTCAGTGAGAGGCTCTGCCATCTTCTGTCCCAAAATTCCTGGGGTAGGGCTTGGAAGGGAAAAGAGGTGGGGTAAGGCCAGTTTTCCACCTCCCAGGTGTCCCCAGGCTGGACATCCCAGCTTGGTATTTGCTCTGCACTTGCTGATAATAAAAACAAGAGCAGGGCCGGGCACAGTGGCTCATGCCTGTAATCCCAGCATTTGGGAGGCCGAGGCGGGTGTATCACGAGGCCAGGAGGTGGGTACCAGCCTGGCCAACATGGTGAAACCCCGTCTCTACTAAAAATGCAAAAATTAGCTGGGCGTGGTGGCCCATAGTCCCAGCTACTCAGGAGGCTGAGGCAGGAGAATTGCTTGAACCCTGGAGGCAGAGGTTGCAGTGAGCTGAGACTGAGCTACTGCGCTCTAACCCGGCAACAGAGCAAGACTCTGTCTCAAAAAAAACAATAACAACTCCCCTTACTAGGTGCTGAGTGCTTGACAAAATTACCGTCTCATCTGATTATCATAATAAACCAACAGATAAGTATAATTATTAGTCCCATTTTACAGAGAAGGAAACTGAGTTTCAGGGAGGCAAAGTGACTTGCCTGAGATCACAGCTAGTAAATGATGAGGTTGGGATCTGAACTCACGGACTGCTTAATACAGAGCCTGAGTCTTTAACCATTAGCCTGTTCACCTCTGTTGTTCCTCAAGGGCCAGGATGTGAAGCTGTCATCTCTGGAGCTTCTGTACCTAGCACACGGTTTGATGCAGAGCAGATGCTCTGGGAAAGTTTGTTCGACAGTCCGGGAGCATTTGCCCTCTGTTTTGAGTTGACTCTGTTGTGCCCAGTGGAATCCCATGGGACTTGCTGTGAGCTTGGCACTGTGCTACGCGCCTGACTTGCACTATTTCCTTTCGTCCTCATAACCACCCTAGAAGGTAAGATGATGTTATTATTCCCATTTTGCAGTAAAGGAAACTGACACACACAAGTGATGCAGGGACCCGCTTAATTCAAGGTTGGATGGGCCTCCTGGGAGTTGTTGTGCAGAGCTTCCTTTGTAGACCTGTTCGTCTCTCCAGTGCCCGCCTGTCCCCACTGTGCACATATATCCCTTACCTTTCCGGTCCAGCCGACACCCTTCCAGATACAGAAATACACCAGGATCCAGGCGATGGCCAGCGTGATGGCCAGTGGCCAGCGGATCTGACCTGGCTTATCCAGCCCGTCTGTCATCTGATGCATGTTGCGCCTGGTCAAACAGTGGAGAGAGGAGAAAGTTGCATGGAGCTGGTGGGAGCTGGAGTGACCCAGGGGTGCCCGGGGCATGGCCACAGATGATACCCTGCCCTGGAATTGTGCCGACACCATCATCACCGTGATTCAAGAGGTGGCTGGGGACTGCAAGGCCCATTATACTAATCAGTAGAAAGTGCTGTTTGGTCAAGAGATCAAAGAGAGCAGGACCTGCCAGGGCCTGAGTCAGCCACTACTGTTCATCTGATGGCCCAGTGGCTCCCTAGTGGGACCCTGCCTTCATTTTTGCTCTGTACCCTCTCCAGCCCCAGAGAGCCTTCTAACCTGCAAGTCTGATCATGTCACTCCTCTGCTCACTGCAATGAATAGCTCCTGCTTGTTCTCAGAATGAAGCCTAAGCTCCCCGGCCACCTTTCAAGGCCCCTGCGTCTCCCCCTCCTCTCAGCACTCGCTGCAGCCCGCTCACCGGTGCCTGGCCTGGCCTCACCTGCCTCCCAGCCTTCATACTCTTCCTCTCCAGCACCTGCCTGCCCTGCAGTTTTCTCCTCTAGATGCCACTCCCCGCCACCCAGGCTGAACCAGGGGCCTCCCCAGGGTCCCCGCAGCCCAGACCCCTGTGCTTCCCTCCTCTTCGCACTGGCTGCCTGGTGGTGCCATTGCCTCCTTGGGCGTCCGTGCCTCTCATCTGCTGGCACATAGTAGGAGCTCAAGAAGTGTTTATTGAACAAATGGTTGAATGAAAAGTCCGAACATGCCTGAGAGCTGAGTGTGGGAGATGCCGGGAAACAGAACTCGCTGGAGCAGAATTTTATTTTTATTTGTAAGGAAACAGTGTAGCTACGGACGCTGTTCCACGAAGAGATCAGGCAACACTGATTCTGACACTGCCTGAGAACAGCTCCTCCTGGGAGCTAATCCAAGGTGCTCTGGGACCTTCTGGACTGCTCCTGGATCCCTCTGAGCTGTTCCAGCACAGGCGCTTCCTTCATGCCAGAGAGATTTGGGCCCCAGCACCTCATTGTGTCATGTCAGTGCCCCCAACACAGATCGCTACAAGGTACTCCCCTGATGATACAATCAGCATGGTCCTCCCTATGGCCAGAGTGTGTGCATGTTTATTCCGAATGACTCTGGGTTTATAAGTAGATCAGCCTGGTTTTCAGGATGAATCAGGATGTGGTCGACCTCTCCAGGTGATTCTAACTGCTGTGCTGGTTATTCCCCTTCGTTTGCCTCTCTGATCCACTCTCCCTCTTGACTACTCTGTGCCAGGCTCCGTGCTGATGGCTATGGCTATATTATCTTGCCGCCTGCTCTCTGGCTTCTAGCTGGGTTTGACCAGTGGGAGGCCCTGGCAGGATATTAGAGGTAGAGATGTTGGGGAATGTACTCTCCCTGCTGGACCATGGCTCTGTAGGTAGCTGGGTTTCCCTATCAAAGGTCAGAGCTTGCGTGTCTCATGGCTCCATCTATAGTCCAACTCTTTCTGGGGAGAGAAGGCCTTCAGCATCCCTTGTGGCTGCTTTAGGCCCGCCACAACTCTGCAACTATAGTCATGTGTCACTTAACAACAGGGATACATTCTGAGAAATATGTTGTGAGGCAGCTTTGTTGTGGTGTACATACAATAGCATGTACTTACACAAACCTAGATGGTATAGCGTGCTAGACTCTTGCACCATATGGTGTGGCCCATGGCTCCTAGGCTACAAACCGGTACAGCACATGACCGTAGTGAATATTGCAGGCAGCTGTAACACAGCGATTTCTGTACTAGCCATGTCTCGATGTAGAAAAGGTAAAGTAAAAACCCAGTGTTATAATCTTATGGGACCACCATTGTACATGTGGTCCATGATGTGACACATGACTGTAGCGCCTTTATCCACCTCTTCTGCTCCGCCTCTGAGGGGCCTCTGTCTCCTGCCAGGCTCTGGCTGGCATGCCCATCCCCGCTATCCCCCGACGGCCCCATACTCACTCCCAGAACTCCACCACGGCGCTGGTCATGTTGGTGGTGTTGACCATGCTGTAGTTAGAGAAGCAGCGGTCTGTGTTCCAGGGATTGTCACACTGTTTCCACGGCAGCGTCTGCAAGGGCAGTCATGAGGACACATCCTGCTGGGCTCCCAGGGGCTGGCATGGGTGGTCCCAGTGCACCCTGCCCACCCTCATGGTCCCCAAGCCTCCTCACACCTCCCCTTCCCAGAAGCTCTGGGAGGCAAGTAGCATTATGATCCCCATTTGACAGATCAGAGAGGGACAGTCACTTGCTTGAGAATGCACAGCTACTAAGTGCCAGAGCAAGCCACAGCTGGGGCTACCTCCCCACCATGTGATGCTGGGTGAGAGCCCTCACTCATGCAACTCTGCCCTAGGATAACAACGGCAAACGCAGGCCTTGTTCTCTGCCAGGCACAGTTCTAAGTTCCTTACACATATCTGCTCCTTAATCCTCATAACAACCCTATGAGGTGGGTTTCACTTTTGTTTTCTTTCATTTTTTTATTATGATAAAATACCCATAACATTTACCATCTTAACCATTTGTGAGTGTACGATTTAGAAGCGTTAAGTATATCTGTAATGTAGCTCCCTTAACCCTGCCACACCTCTGCAAATACAGTCATGTGTCACTTCACAATGGGAACACGTTCTGAGAAACGCGTTGCCTAACACTGTCACCATCTTTCTCCAGAACTTTTACATTTTGCAAAACTGAAACTCTACCCATCAAACAACAACTCCTCACCCCCTACCCACAACCCCTGGCAACCATCATTCCACTTTCTGTAGAAAAGGTAAAGTAAAAATCCAAATCTATAAATTTGACTACTGTAGGGAACTCATATAAGCAATATCATGCAGTATTTGTATTTTTGTGACTGGCTTATTTCACTTAACATAATGTCCTCAAGGTTCATCCATGTTGACACGTGTCAGAATTCCTTCCTTTTAAAGACAGAATTACATTCCATTGTATAAATAGACCACGTTTTGCTTTTCAATTCATTTATCAATGAACACTTGGGTTCCTTCCACCTTTGGCTACTGTGAATAGTGCTTCTATGACCAGGAGCATACAAATATCTCCTTGAGAGCCTGCTTTTAATTCTTTGGGTATCTACTCAGAAGCCGAATTGCTGGATCATATGGTAATTCTATGTTTAATTTTTTGAGGAACTGGGGCAGGTTCTGATTTTATTTCCATTTTATAAATGAGGGCACTGAGACTCAGAGAGGTTAAGTCTCTTTTCTGAAGTTGCACAGCTGGTATAGAGTCAGGATTTGAACCCAGGCTGTCTGCATCCATATAAAATGGGCTAACAAGACCCACTTGAGAGGGGTGTCATTAGCACTGGATGTGAGCCTACAAGGAGTGCCTGGCCCAGAGGAGACGCTAAATTTGCGAGGCTATGGCTGTTATGGGGAGACCAAGGCCCATGAAAGACAAACCAAGTTCCCCACTCCTGGAAGAATGGCCTTGTCAGCAGAGTGGTGGCTGTGGCAGGCTGAGGGTGGGCTCTGGGTGTGGCTCCTGCTGGAGGAGGTAGTCAAAGGGACCACTCACCGTGGTGAAGGAATTGTACAGGTAGTAGATGGCCCAGGAGATGATGACAATGTAATAGATGTTCAGCCAGAATGACAGCACAGCAGCCGCAAGGCCCACGCCTGGGAGCGAAACAGAGTCATGCATCCACTTAATACAGAATCGACGTGAACTGTCCTGGCATGCTCCATAGCCTCTACGATCTTAATGATCTTGGAGACAGGCATTACTGAGGACACTGAGGCTAAGACAGAGACAGTGACTTGCTGAAGGCCATGCACATCTGGCAAGCCAGGGGCCAGGACTCATGTCTTGGGCCCAGTGCAGGCTGGTGGCAGGGAGGGCTGTGGTCTCAGCTTGTCAGAAAAGATGGGGCCCAGGCCCTCGGTCAGTGAGCATAACTCACCATGTGTCTGCCTGGGTGCCTGTCAGGCACTAAGCATGAGGCAAAGAAAGTCACACCCAGCCCGTGCAGGGGAAATACATGGGCTAATGGGACAGAGCAGGCTGATGTGCAGGGGACTCTGGATTGGGCCTTTCCATGCCACCTCCCTAGTTTCTGACTGGCACAGTATTCTGTCACCTGGCCTCTTGCAATAGCCCTCACTCTGCTCACACATGCACCTGGTGGGCGGATATGTAATGTCAGCACCAGTCTGCGTAGACAGGTCCCTCTCTCCAGAGGGGCAGGAGTGTGTGTGGGCAGACACTGCCCAGGGCCCCGCTCTGCAGACTTACCCTTGAACATAGGAGCCAGCTTCCACACCCCCAGCCCCCCGATGGACGTGTACTGGCCCAGGGAGCACTCCAGCAGGAAGAGAGGGACCCCCGCAAAGATGAGTGTCAGGAAGTAGGGGATCAGGAAGGCTCCTGCAGGGTAAAGAAGACAGATGCTCATGGCCCCAAGACTTTCGAGACCCACCCTGGTGGAGTGCCATGGTTCTGCGTCCCTATCCAGGATTTCTTTACACCTGCCACAAAAGTAGGCCCCACAGCCAAACGCAGGCCCAAGGACAGCCTTACGCAAAATACATCCCGTGTTTTTTTTTTGCAAGTGAATAGATGAACTTCTTGGTATCATTAACAGAGGACAGTTGTCCTTTCAGAATCTTGATGAAGGGACATGAAGCAAGAACGGGCCTGATCCTCCCTCTGGAGTCTTTAGGGGGGCTTTTCTACTACAGTTGGCCCAGAAAAATGCCTAAGCAGGATCCTTTCTGCAAGGTCCAGACCAAGCCAGGAGGTCTCCAGGCCAGCACCTACCACCACCATTTTTCCCGCAGAGATAGGGGAACCTCCAGACGTTGCCCAGGCCAATGGCGTAGCCCACGCAGGACATGAGGAAGTCGAAGCGGCCCTTCCACGTGTCCCGGTCGGGGAGGTCCGCTGCCTTCTTCTGCACCTTGACCACCAAGGTTTTGGGCTTGTCATTGGCCACAGGGGCCTCGCTGACCTCGGTGGAGATCTGCCCATCGGCCACCTTGCTGCCGTTGGTTGCCATGTCTCGGAATTTGGATGCTGGGGTCCTGGCAGATGGACGTGCGATGTCAGCCCCGGTCCACGTGGACAGCAGTTTTGCGGCTCAAGGTCACCCTAGGAGGACAGGAGTGGGGTGATAGACACAGAAAGAGAGTAGGATCTTGGAGTTGCTGCACCCTAAAATGACAAAAACAAAATAACCCACACACCAGCTAGGGGCTTGAAAAGGCTCTCCGTAAACCCTCTTCCTCTCACCCGCCCTTGCTCTCGGAGGAAGGAAGGTGACTTTTGTTTCCAAAGACACAGCGATGTTTCCTGGCCTAGCTTCAACTCTGGCCATCTGTGTCCAACCCTCTGTTGTATGTCCTGCTCAGAGGAGAAATCTGAGGCCACCAAACTTCCAACAGGGAATATTAAGTATTTAATCATAAAATCTTTAACTTTGCCTCCAAGGATACAATTGGGAGACTTGTCACACTCTGAGGCCATGCTAGCCATGGCCAGGGCAAGCAAGGAAGGAGCTCAGCCTGTGGCTTGCGAATGGGGAGAAAGTTGTCCCCACTGTTCCCACTATGGAGGGTCCGGGTGAAGATGACAAAGCCTAGGAGTTACGACCTCTGATCACAGTCCACTTTACCACTTTTGAGCTGTGTGACTATGAGTACACTCAACCTCTCTGTGCCCCTATCTTTTAAAATGAGGATGACACTGGTACATCTCTCACTGGGTTACAGGAAGCCCTGAGTCTAAACTCTGCCAAAAGAGATTCTTATGCTGGCAGCCCAGCCCTGGCCCTCAGCTGAGGAAGGACCACTGGTTTAGATGACCTCTTTCAGCCTTTAGTCACCCCTAGATTCTACTGACACTCTACAGCCTTCTTATCTCTTTAGTTCCAGGGGCAGCGTGGGGTACGGTACAGTGGAGGAAACTGGGCTGAGACCAGTCCTGAGTTCAAATCTCTAGTCTGTCTTCTACCAGCTAAGTACTACTGCTCAGTACTACTCTCAATACGACTACTAAGTACTGCTCTTGTTGGTACTCAGTTTCCCCTTCTATAAAATGAGGGCAATCCCCTCTGGCTTATAGAGTTGTGTGAAAACTCAGCTGTAATTGCTGCAAGCGTGCTTTTCCCTGGCCTGGTTAAGAGGGAGAACTCCACTCACGGATGTTGTTTCTGTGGCTGTTGACGTTACCTGATGGTCGTCGGGGGTGGGTCAGCTCCAGAAGGGCTCCTTCTGCCACCCTGGGTGAGAGCCTGCACAGCAGAGAAGGGAAGGAGAGGAGGGATGGTGAGGCAGCGGCAGGGCGGGCAGGCGGCTCCTACAGGGAACAGCAGGGGTGCGGGGAGCCTGCCGGGGTATCCGGGCTGTGCATGTGTCCCGCAGAGCGTCCCCAGCCAGGGTGGCCGCAGCAAGTCCATGCAACATGGCACTGGCCCTCGGGGTGCCGGGAACATGCAGGACTGGGACCCGCTGCCCTCGGGACAGCTGTGGGGTGGGATGAGGGCAGTGTGGAGAAGATGTTCCATAATTTTATCAGAGGAAAAGAGAAACCAACAGAGGGGCTGCCGTTCTCTGGGTCCCAGCGGGAGCCAACGAATACAGCTGAGACTTTTCTCCATCCTCCATCCAAGCTTGTGGAAATGTTACAAAAAGACCACGAAAGAACACAAGAAAGAGCACCTTGTTTTGGGGTGACAAAAGCAAGTATCCAGTTTATTGCAAATTATCCCATTTTCTCCCCCTCCCCACAAATCTGTTTAAAAAAAGGATATACCCAAAGATGGTTACAATGCTTAGTTTATGAGTGATTTTTGTTTTCTTCTTTGTGCTTTTTAAAAAAATTTCTATAATGTTCTACAAAAGTGACTTGATTTAATAAAATAACACAAAATAAACTTATGGAACCCTCAGAACAAACCGGAGCAAGTGAAGCACTGGTCTGCGGACCGTCAGAGGTGGGAGCTGCGCCAAAGCAATGCTGCGTGGCCCTGGCCCAACCCCCACGGCCTCCTCCCCACAGCGTTGCCCAGCAGGGTCCGGTCTGCTGTGCACTCACCCTCCAGCCCGTCACATGCAGTCCCCATTACCAAACACCATCATCTCCTCCCAGAGTTCACGGAGAACCAGGCCATCTTCAGATAATCCAAACTTTCCCGCCACCCCTGCTCCTCGCTCTCAGGGATGGCCTGCTCACTTTGAGCTCCTTTAAGGCACACAGGTTGGTCTTGGATGCCCATCTAGATGCTGGTCTGGGCACGGCAATGTCAGAGAGAGCTCTGGACTCAGTAGGGCACCTGCCTCCCCTCCTGGAGAATGGCAGGAAGTAGGAGGCGGCCAATTCTGTGGTCTACCAGGGAGTCTTGGGATACGCAGGAGAGAGCAGCCTCAGCTATTAACTGTCGTAACAATGATGCCCTTAACTGTTCCATGATCTAAACTTGTGGGCTCCGGCTGCCATATTTGTTCAAAATGATCCAGTCATCTCAGACCAGGACTGACCACCTGACCCAGGCTAGCCAATCAAACTCCTTCCCTGAGAATTTGGCATGGGACCCAGGAAGAGGGGCAGTTTTGCCAGTGACTCGGGGACTCTGGGGCAGCCATCCTCTGCCCGTCTTGTACTTAGAGTGAGAGTTGGTCTGCTGAGGAAGGAGAAAACTAGAGCTCAAAAGATAGAGAGAGTGTGTCAAAGCTCCTAGTTTGCAGTTCCAGGCTTTCTTCAGACTAGTGCTTGGATTTTACAAAACATTCCCACAGTCATGAAACAGATGTTTTGCTTACATTGGCTTGGGGGTTCCTGCTGCAATCTTAAATCTCTGCACCGTTCCTCTGGTTCACTAGGAAGTTCATTCCATGAGTTCTTCTCCATGACTATATTGAGCACCTCCTCATGCCAAGCCCTGAGCGATCAGAGATGGTGGATGCTCTGAAGACCTCACCATAAAGAAGACATACTGTGATTTCCAATTTCTGGAATACGGGGATATGTATTCAGATTCAGCCAAATGCCTATAACTTCCCTAGGAAGAGCCACATGACTCTACGTGGAGTTTTCCTTTTAGAAGACGTGGAACATATGAAGATAAACAAAGTAAAGCCATGAATTGATATAACTCATACTTCTTTGAGGATTTAGGACTGAGAAGCCTCTTTGACTTACACAGCAGCAAAGCCACTCTGGTGCTAAGTCAGACAGACCCCAGCTCCCTCCAACACCTACCAATGCTGGGTCAGTTACTTCCGTAAAATGGGAGGACAAGAATACCTCCTTTAGAGGGTTACGGGGATGATTAAATGAGATCATGTATGCAGAGCATGTAAAACTATGCCTGGCACCTAGTTAAGGCTTAGGAAACCTCAGCCATTGTTCTCACTGCAGTCGCCACCATCTGGGTATGGATCCGTTGTTCTGAGCCTGGCATTCATAACTTCCCAGAAGGCAATAACAACAACAATAATACAGACTAACATTAATTAAGGGCGTACTATTCAGGTTTTTCAGTGTCTCCAGCACTTTAAAGACTCTAGTGGAGACCATCCTCTTCATCCTCCTGGGGAATACCAGCTAACAGAAACGTCAAGTTTTTGGTTTAGGGTACTCTTTGTACCACGGCAAAGAGGTCTAGCCCAGCATCTTGGGCCAGTCAGAAGCTGGGAATGGTGTATTTGTTTGTTTATTAATTAAAAAAATTATTCTGTAATAAAATCTGGTACAAAACAAAATCCCAAACATCCAGTCCACGGGAGGAAATCGATAAAGAGCCGCCTGCTGGTGAGCACACCTGGCACCCAACGCTGAAACGGAGTGGTCCCAGGAAGCGTGCCTCACCCACACACCTGGGGGAACAGTGCTTTGGCAATTTTAATTCCTGGCACTTCCCTCTCCTATGAAAAATAACATGAAGAAAGCACAGCTGTGTGTGAGTTCACGGCAAGGTAACCTGGCTGTCTTTCTAGAACATTTCCCCGAAGCAGAAGCAACCTTTATGCGAGTTGTGACTTCCTTTCCCGAGACACACCCCTGTGTTTTGTGGTTCTTGGGGATTGTGTTGGAGGACAGCTCTGTGGGTCTGTATTGGCAAGACCACGCGTTTCTTCCACTCAGGATAGTGCCAGCCTGTGATTGCCTCCTTTACCTGCTGACAGAGCAGGCGGAAGGAGCATCTCTCACCTTCTCATAATTTGGGCATTTTTCCAAAGCCTTCTTCCAGTGTCTTCCAGTTCTTCCTCATCAGGTGACAACATTCTGCAGACCCAGAATCCGGCTCCACTTTCCTTCAGGTGCATACTATACCACGGTTAGCTTAATTCCACCAAAGCCACGTTCAAAGGGCACACTAATGTCAGACCACCAGTGACGACAAGTCAAGTCCTCTGTACTCACTAACACATTCATTCTGCAAGTATTTACTGAGCACATGCTATGTGCTGAGTCGATGATGGCACCACCTCTTCAAGCATTTTGTATTCTGAACTACACCCTGGTCACCAGAGTCTGAATCAGTGAACTAACAGGTTCCAGCAGAAAGATTTGTTTCTGTAAATACTTACTGAGGCCTCCTATGTGCATGGCGCTGGGGTGGACGCTCAGGATGTGAGAATTTAATAAGACAAGAACCTTGCCCTTGTCAAGGTCATGGTCTAGAAGGAGAAATATTTCTGCCTATAGCTGATCATAATATCCTGTGGTAGGTGCAAGAGGTGTAAGAAGAAGACATGGTAGGCCTAGAAGAAATGCATTAATCCAGCCAGAGAAAGTATCCTAGGTGAGGGGTCATTTGAGCAGGGCTTTGAAGGCTGAATAGGTGTTCATTAGGTTTAAAAAGGGAGAAAAGCTGCCCCAAGTGGAGGAAAGTGCATGAACTAAAGTATGAAGTGTGAATCTGGGAAGGTCAGTGTGTGGAGGGCCTTGGACACTGGGCTGAGGGACTTTCGGACTAGTTACAGGGGTGAGGCAGGGCTGATAATGGGATCAGATTTGTAAACCAGAAGAAGACTCACTCATGGGGCCTCTGGAAAGGAGGGAGTTAGTGAAAGACACTCGAGGCAGGAAGATGGTGAAATGTTCCCAGGCTCCCCCATCCTTCCTCAGTGTATGCTCTATGACCAAGTGTTAAGGCCATTGATAAAAATGGGGCCAAACCAAGCACAAAGAACTCCTTTGCCAATCTCTGAGTGACAAGACGCTTTGTAAGAGAAAGAAAACATGTACAGTTTGGAAGCCCTACATCAGAAGTGGCAAAATGGGTCAAAACTGGCCCTTGGGCTTGTTTTATTTGGCCTGAGCCAAAACCAAAACATATTCAATCTGAATTAGGAGCCAGAAATGAGATTCTCTGGGATACGGTATTTCAAACAGAGGGAGCAGCAAGTGCAAAGGCCCTGAGGCAGGAGTGAGCCTCGCACCGTTGAAAGACACCAAGGTAGCCAAGGTGGCTGGAGTCCAGTGTGAGAGGAAACAGATTCAGGTAGAGGTGGTGGGCAGGGGCCAGGCCACACAGGTCTCAGAGGCCACAGCAAGGATTCAGGTTTCATTCTAAGTGGGATGGGAGGAAGTGAGGGGTTGAGGTAGTGGGGACATCTGACTTACGGTTAGTTTAGGAGTCTCCCTCTGGCTGCCCAGAAGGGGCTGCCGAGGGGCAAGAGGGAAGCAGGGAGACATGTTCAGAGGCTACCAGTCCAGAGAGATGTTGGAGGCTTGCATGGCGGTGGCTGGATGGGCAGAGGTGGGGGGACATGGCACCAGCACCCAGGATCTATTCTGGAGGTGGGGCCCGTGGGCCTTGCTAGATGATTGGCTGTGAGCAGCCCAGTCCTGGGCCAGATGGCAGGCCAGGGGGAGGGGAGTGTGTGGAAGCCGCGTTGGACAATCTCTCTCTGTTCCACTGCATCAGAGACACGGGCGGCTGCGTGGGGTGGGGACCTAGGCAGAGGCCGAAAGGCCAGGGCTGGAGTCTCAGGGCTGCCATTGTCCCAGGCCATGGCCCTGCCATGGGGTGAGTGGGGAGCCCTGAAGAGCCAGGGAAGTGAGGAGGGGGAGCAGTGGGCCTGGTAGTAGGGCTGCTCCTCCCCTCCCCCCACCCCAGTCCCACCCCCTCCTTGAGGCTGTACTATGCCTGCTTTGCTCTCGTTGTGTAATCACAGAAATTAGAGAGGCTTGCATCAGAGTGCAATCACTCTACTTTGCCTTTCTTCCTTTTTGAAACTCCGCGGTTCAAGAAAGAAATTAATATTGAGTTTGGCTTCATTCCAAGAGGAAACATAATACAGTTTATTCTCTGCCTTTGCGAAGAATGCTAGGCTCAATTCATTGGACAAGGCTTTATTGAGCATCTGTTGTGTACTCAGACTCATGCCAGCTCCCATCGAAGGAGAAGAGCTAGCACTTATTGAGCACCTATTGTGTGCCAGGCATTTCGCAGGCACTATATCATCCAGGCATCATTCCATCTGTGTAAGCCAGGGCTACATCACCCATCTGACAGATAAGGAAACAGCCTTGCCAGCTGGGGGCTATTGTTAAGGAGTCTCAAACCGCCCAGCGACTCGGGGCCTTGCTTCTCAAAGTGCAGTTCTTTAAGAGACAGTGTCAGCATCACCTGGGAGCCTGTCAGATGCGCAGAATCTTGGGCCCCACTCAATGAGAAGCTGATTTTTAAGCAGGTCCCATGACTGAGGCACATACGACAGCTTCAGAAGCTGTTAAGTCAGGGGTGACCCAGATTATTTCATGGGACTTCATTCAAATCTCTGTGTAATGGGGCTAGATCTCTGGCTTGCTTGAATCCCAATTTTCTCATCTGTAAATGTGGATTTCACAGAATTGCTCTGAGAATTGCATGATAATGCATGGAAAGAGGCCAGCCAAGGGCCTGGCACACAGGAAGTGTCAATAAATAGCAGCTTAGGCTGCCACTCAAAGAGATGAATGGCTGCAAAAGTGCTTTGTAATTGAAAAATGTTATACAAATGTGAAGACCAATTAATAGTGGTTGATCAGGCGCAGAAGGTTAGAGGGAGGTTGGAACTGTGCAGGACGACAGGTGCTTTGGGCAGTGCTTGCCACGCGCTGTCCTGGGTCAGGGAAAGCTCCCTGAAGAAGGTTCCCTGATGGAAAGGGAGCTGCCAGAGGGGGCCTCCGAGGCCCAGCATTTTAACAAGACCTCAGAGGCCAGCCAGGCCTGCAGGGGGATGGAGGCTACAGGACAGATGCATTAGTCGGGACAGCTTGGGGTCTAAATGGGACGCCTCATTCTTGGATCCTCAGCCCCATGCACAGTGGTGCTTAGGGCCGAGACCCAACTGGCCTCCTTCCTGGTCCAGACTTGCTCCATGCCGAACTGGGGCACCTGGTCTACCATGGCATTCTATAGATGAAGAAAAAAACCCAACAAAGATTGGTGGCTGGCCCAAGGTCACACAGCATGAGAGTGGCCTGAACCAGACAGACTCCCAGCTCCCAGCTCCCCATACACTCTTACTCAAGAGAGGAAGGAAAGCAGTTTCACACCTTGGTATAAATCTCTCAGCTACCTCAATGTACCTGAGAGGGAATTTGCAGAAGCAGGTGTCTTTGTCAGTAGCATTTATTGCATGCCTACTCTTTACAACATCCCACGGTGACTTTCAAGTAAGCTACTTATTTTCTCAAAGTTTTTGTTTCTTCATCAATTAAGGAGGTCAATAGTAACCACTTTCCACTCTGTGAGGACTAGATTTGAATTTTCTAGCACCATGCCCAGTTCAGCAGGTGCTAAATACATTGAAGCTAATACAATCACTGGTGCCATTTTGCAGATGATGGCACTGAGGCCCAGAGAGGTCAAATGACCTGCCCAAGGTCACACAGGACTTGACTCAGGCCCTCTGACTCATAGGCTAGTGCTATTTGCTTGTCCAGGAAGTGCCTCCCAGGCACTTCCCTGAAGCCATTAGACCTATCGGACCTCATGACCTGACCTGTCCAAGCATGCCTGCTGGGTGCCAGAGGGAAAGAAGTGTGACTGTATGAAGATGAGTTTCCCTGGCCTCACTGCCCCAGAACAGATGAAGAAACAGAGGCTCTAGCCCTTCCCCTCTGCTCTTAGCCTCTGAGAGCCTGGAAGTCAGTTTTCTAGGACACCCCTGAAACCACAATGTGGAAGAAGGCCAGAGGACATCCCCACCCCAACAGCCCAGGAAAGAACAAATTCAACTTTGCAACTATGGAATGTGAGAGACTCATCCAATGGTGAAACAGACTTCAGGAGTCACGGTTCTCCTTCTGCAGCCATCGACAAAAAAGAAACATTCCCTGGCTTTTCATTAACAAGGGGTGAAAGAAAAAGAAGCGCTCAGTACAGGGAGGAAGTGAGCTGAACACACTAATGTGCCAGGGCCCACTCTAAATGGTTTTTGTCTGTTAAATTGCTTTTATCCCCCATTTTACTGATGGGTAAACTGAGGCACGGAGAGGTTAAAATGACCTGCCAAAGGTCTCCTAGTTAGGAGGTAGGGGTGCCAAGCCTTGACCCAAGCAGCTGGGCTCCTGTGTCCAAGCTGTTAACCTCTCTTCTGTCTCTAATGGGGTTCCTGTGGAACCCCCCAAGCCCTCCATACTTGTAACTGGCCTCACAAATATGGCCCATCTCCAGCAGCCACCTCCCTCCAGGACAAATCTCCACAAGGACAAGGCCTGCTGCTCTTTTTAAGAAACCCAAGGGAGGCTGCTGGCATGACAGCCTCTGAGTTCTGGCTCCAAAAAGGCTCCTGTGGTTGTGCTGGACAAATCCTACAGGTATCCAGGGAGCCCCGAGAGGTCACATGAGATTCTGGCTGAGCTGCGGGGCTGGAAGGTCTAATCAGAGTCCCCAGGAGGCGGCTAGCCTCTAGGGGCAGCACTCCCCTCTTGGAGACCCCAGCTGTCCTCCAATTGCAGGTATGGCCTGTGCCTTGCAGCTGCAGAGAGGGGCTGACCTGAGGAGGAAGGGCAGTTAGCTTGATACCCTGAAGTCCAGTAGACACAGGTTTGAAATCTCACCCTAAACTTACTAGCTGTGTGACCTTATGCCAGTTCCTTCCCATCTCTGTGCCTCGGCTTTCTTCTGTGTGTAAGCGGGAGAGTCAGACTCGGATTTCTAGCTCCGCCTCACTCTAATCCAATCCTGCTTGTCTCACTCACACGATCAGTGCTTTACTAATGTCTGTTCTGGCCCTTAATTATCTGTAATGCCCAACTGAGCACTTCATTTTGTCAAGGCAATTTTCAATCCCATCCACATCAACTGTGCATCTCCGGGAGCCGGGCCTCATGCTGGGTGCAGAGGGACAAAGATGTAAGTTGGAGTCTGAGTCCTGCTGCCACCGAGCTCTCGGGACGGCTGGGAGATGGGTCATGGACAACCCACATCCACGGGGTAAGTCTTCCACAGCACACAGAGAAGGAGAGGCGGTGCCCTGTAGTAGCAGAGAGCTCTGATGCAGGAAAAGAGGGCACATTTTACCCTGCAATGAGAATGATGATCACACCGAAGGCTGAGGAAGTGCTTAACATGTTTACTGCATTTCATGGATGATCGCATTTAACTCTCACGCCATACAGATGAGGAAACTGAAGTTCAGACAGTAAAACAACTTCCCGCAGTCTCAGATCCCGGACACTGCAGTTTGATTCCAAAGCCCATGTTCTTAACTATCCCTCTCCACCGTGGGCATGGGGCAGTCACCAGGGCTGCCACCTGAGCCCTGAAAAGGGGGGAGATTTGATGTGATGGTGACTTGGCAAAACTGCCCAGCAGCTGTGTGGGGAGGAGAAGAGGGAACATGGGTGGAGGTTGCTGTAACAGGGCTGGTGAAAGGACAGTGCCCGAGTCAGGACCATGGTGCGGGTGAGGAGGAAGGCTTGGTCACCCTATACGACATGGCTTCTCTCCTAATTTCAGATTCGTCTGTCTTAGCATCCCAGCTGCACTGTCACCTCTGTAAGAAAGGGCCCAGGTCTTCCACCTGCTCTGCTTCCCAGATAGCTGGCAGCTTGAACAGTGCTAGATATGCGTGCGCTCTCTTGGGTTCTGCCCCCTATGGCAAAGGACTTTGTTCTTACAAGGCCTCAGCACAGAAACATTTGCTTTGGAGAAGGTGGCAGGTCTACAGAGCAGTGGTGTGCTGGTAAGCTTTAACAGTGGGCTCTCAGGAAACAAAACAGAAGACTCAGTTTGCAGTGCCTGCTGATTGCTGTGGTATAAACACTCCCACCGTGGCCCGTGAAAGGTACTAATATGAGGTCACAGGATTGAGTACTCGTGCCAT